CTCAGGGGGAGCTGTATCATGGCAATCTAGGCTTCAAAAATGTGTTGTCTTGTCCACAACTGAGGCTAAATTTATTGCAACCATTGAGGCTTGTAAAGAAGTATTGTGGATGAGGAGGTTCTTACAAGAACTTGCTGTCAAACAAGAGAGGTATGTATTGCTTTGTGACAGTCAAAGTGTAATTCTCTTGAGCAAGAACTCTACATTTCATTCTAATTCCAAACACATTGATGTGAAATATCATTGGATTCGTGATGCTTTAGAAAGCAAGTTGTTGGAACTTGAAAACATTCATATTAATGAGAATGGCTTAGACATGATGACTAAGTCTTTGCCAAAGATGAAATATGATGCTTATTGTGAGGTTGCATTCATGGTGAACTCCGTCACATAGTCGAGAGGGAGAGTTTGTTGGGCCAGGGTCCCTCCCATGTGAGGTGGCCCATTCAAAGCCCAATAGGGCTTCTAGTTAATAAAAAGAAAAAGAAAAAAGAAAAAAAGGAAGCGTGAAAAAGTTGTTGTTGTAGACGAAGTAGAAAAAAAAAAAGAGTGAAGGTTTTTCTGTTGGAGTAGGTGCCCTAGAGCCAATCACTTATTGTAGAATTGACTCTTTGTAATAATGTTTATTAATCAATAAAAGGCATATTCTTCTATATCGTGTAAATCATAGTTATATGTAATGATATATGTCCTTAGGATGGTAGAACTGTGACGATGGTATCAAGTGTTTCAAATCTTAATAGTTAAAACCTTATAATCACATATGGTGACCATTCTAAAAATGTCCGTAGCCCTAATATTTTTCTGACCAAGGACACAGATAATACGGTAAGACTATCATAGTGTTGAACGACCTTGTCAAAATGTAGTGACTGATCTTACTTGTCAAGGTTATTTGCCGACAACCTAGTGCAACGCATGAGTGCTTGTTAGAGGCAAGTTCATTGGACAGACCCATCAGAGGATTCCATATGGATGATGACCCCAGTGTCTATGGAATAAATCCTCTAACGGATGGTGGTGCATGTGATCCTTAGACTTGAGATCACCGGAGCACCTTGTGCACCAATTGGTGTAGTTTGACACTAGCCCAATGTAGTTTTATTTAGAGCTATCAATACGGTAGTGATTGGCTTCATTGAGAAGTGTATCGAAACTATGGTGGATCGACAAAGGATTCATCACTCCTGGGTACGGGAGAAGTTATCTCACTAAGTAATTCAGTAAATGACAATGACACTAAATTTGTAGCCACAGTGGGATTGAGTTGTTGCTCAATCCAATTTGATATTCCGGTCATTGGTCCCTTAACTGAATATAAACATGTTGAGGATATCTGAGGTTGACACTATTTTTGTACCTCAGTCTCGATGAGTTAACTAACAATGAAATGATTTGATTGTACAATAACAATACCGTTGACAGGTTACAATTTCGCTGAATCCGAATCTATCGGGTGGCCATGATGTCTTGCTAGGGGCCAATCTTGGTCTTTGTGTTGTGAGGCGATTAATTGGTGTTAATCGCGATACTACACACTGCCGATATGATGAGGAGCCTACGAGTCACACACTTAGAAGATAATTTAAGAATCAATTTGTGAAAGGGGTATTTTTGTCTTTCAGGACAAAAGGGTATTTTGGTAATCTCACAGTGTAATTAAATTTGCTGAGGTTGTTGCTTGTATTTAATTTTATTATTAAAATTAAATTAGTGAGATTATATTTAAATATGTCTATGCATATATTTAAATGAATTATTATTATTAATTAAATGTTAATATATTATTATATATTAATTGATTTTAATTATAATAATAATTAATTAATTAAAATACCATAAAGGGTGTGTTTGGTTGCAAGGGTGAATTAGAGTTGGAGTCCATGACTATTCCTTATTGGAATAGAGTTTTAATTGTTGTATTATATAAGTACAACTTAAATTAAAAACAAAAGAGAGATTTTCATTCATTCATTCAATAATTAAAAACCCTAGCCACCCTTTTACTCTCTCTCTCACGCCGACTCATTGATTGAAGAGAAAAATATTATTTTTCTTCTTGACTCATTGAAAAACATTGATTCTTGAAGCCTGATTGTTCTAGCAAAATAATTAAGGGTTTTGCAGATTGTCTTCGTGTGGATTTCCGTGAGTGCGATCCTACTTTGGATCGGTTAGCGAAGAATCACGTGAACAGTGTTGATGAACAGTGTCGATGAATTCAATGAATAGTGCTATGAACAGTGTTTGTGAGCGTAATCAGAGATATTCGGAGGAGCCTCCAAATTTGTGTAAGCATTCTGAATCCTTGTATGAATTTATCATATTGTTGTAATGCAAAATTTATAAACACTATAATCTGTACCCAGATTTGGGATTAAGCATATGATTGGGTCTTTATTTGTTTTGAAACTGTTTTTTTTTTTCTGCTGCATAAACCTGATCACATGCTAACATTTTCATCTCTGCCTAGTTTTCATCAAAGCTGTGATCCCACTTCGTTTGTGGTTGGATTGAGCTAAAATTGGAAGAGAGACTCACAACACAAGGAGCTACAATCTGAACGGCAAAGATCAGATTTTGAGTTCTGGAACTGGTGTTTTGTACTCGTGAACAGTAATTTCGGGTTTTAGTGAGAACTTTCCAACATCCATTTTTGTTGGTCACGTTTCCACTATGATGATGATGTTCTTATTGTAATTGTATTTCAAGATTGGTTGTTCTTGATGTTTTTGTTTGCTGGATGTATCTAGTAAACTAAAAGAATCATTGTAAGACATTACTTGGTTGATAGTGGAGGCTTTTAAGTGGATTTTGATCCCATGGTTTTTCCTTTTGTATTGAAGGGTTTTCCACGTAAATTCTGGTGTTCTTTGTGTGATTGTTTGATGCTGAATTTTTTATTTTACTAGTGTGATTATTCTCTAGTTAATTTTACACAAAACTGGATCCTTAGTTTGGCACAACAATGACAGTCGCATAGATGTTGATGCAGATGGAAAAGACAGTTGTTGAGCACAGTATCTTGTCAATTTCCGTTGGGAACATATATCTGATTTTGTAAAGAGTTTATCAAGGCTGTTTATTTGATTCCATGTCCATTTCTTGCTTTAATAAGCACAAGAAATGGCCTAGTTCTAAAGGTCGTCAGGAATTTTGATGCGATGGAATGAACTTGATCGTCGGTCCAATTGTGGTGCAAAGCACAAGGTATTAACTTTGACAAAACTATTCTCCCAAGTTTTGATATATGGTTTTGGCTATTATATATCACTTAACAAGTCTTACGTTTTTGGTTTACAAGACTCATGAGTTTACAGATTCTACTTTGATGGTGGATACATGGTTGTACTGTAGCAAAACTATATATTCTCTTGATCGAATCATATGAAACAGTATTGACAATATGTAAGCTGGGACTTTTGTTTTGATTACAGCTAAGACTCAAACGCAATATTGATAATACATTTCTTTGACCTTTACATCTTATGATTAAGGTTGTTGAATGTTGTTAGATTCGGTGTATAGTAAAAAACATGACTAAACAGGTTATTGCTGATTTAGATTGAACTGTAAAGTTGTAGATGTATAATAATTCATAATTTCCAGTAAACGGATTCAAACTCTCGTATACTTTTTTATCGAATCATTTGACGAATGTTAAGTGCCAGATGTGAAGATGGCATCATCAAAGTTGAGGAACTTATAAGAAAGTTGGCAATTACTCAGATCAGAAGTCAGATGCTGTGTGGAAAATTGTTGTGGGGTTTTGTCTGTAAAATCATTAACTATTGAAGACGTGCAAGTTGGAAGCTTAATTAATAACAATTAGACTCTAATCTCTAATCACTATAATACATTAAGACTTACATTAACTAATTAATAAAAGCTCCATGTCAATCCAAAACCACATGATTTCAGATCATTAACAATATTCCCGTGACTCAACACTCCATTAACAAAATACAAAAACAAGTTCAAAGTTTAGTGTAACAAATAAAAATCTCAACTGGACTTCAGACACAATCTGTCTCCTGTATTTTTTTTTTTTTTTAGCTTGTAATAAAATAACACTAAATGAACCACCCCTAGGTGGTTGGGTGGGTCAATAGTGTTTTTTAAGTCAAAAAGTCTGAGCTCGATTCTCTTCAATTGCTAATAGGGGTGGCTACTTGAGGGTTTATTCGATCATTAACTTTAAGGTCTCGAGATATTAGTAGAGGTGTCCACCCCTAATGAGGGTGGATACTGGAGGGTTAACCCAGTTGTTAACTTCAAGACCCTTAGGGAATACTTCTTCTACGACTTAAATATAAGACCCTTAGGTATAACTAAACCCAGTGATTAAAGGGCGTACCATACACCACAACGGTGAGAACTAAACACAATTTTCTTCCTCATCCTGTAATAAAATAACACCAAATGCTAGCCATTCATGTCATAGTTTACATTAAAGGAAAAGTTTTGGCCAGCCCCACAACTAAAGACGATATACATTTTTAGTAGTTTGTGAAAGATTACAATTTATTCTCAGAATCACCAAATTCCACTGGACCACCATCTTTTCTTAATTTCATTATTCATCCCTCACCTTTACTATAATTTTAAAAATAGTTTCGATATCTTTAAATTTATCCTTTTTTTAATAACTAAGATGTCTGGACTAGTTTACGCATACTTCGACCACTCGTCAAGAGAGCTATCCTTTGGCAATCCACTATTGTAGCCCCCAGGATAAATCATGGACAAATATATTACTTTACATTGAGTATGGAATCAATTCTGGGACTGTGGACTAGGCCATTTACAGCCCCCTTGATTTGCCCTTACCACTTTATTTACCCGGTAAAAGGGTTGGAAATCAACAATTTTTATAAAATTATAGGGGTTATTTCATAATTATGGTAAACCTCTGAGTATGTCATCAGAATTAACCCTTTATTTTATTCGTTTTTTATTCGCTCTCTTTTCTTTATCATTCTCGTCGTGCACTCATCTTCTTCCTTTCTTCTTTCTTCAACTTTCATCAACTCAATGAAGAAACAAAACCAGACATTACTCTTCTTCACATCTTTCAAATGACACCATTAACAACGTTCTCTCCTCTCTTTACTTCCATCGTTATCACGTTTATCGCCACCATCTTTTTGCTGACTACACCCGTTAACCCCCTCGGCTCGGCTTCCACTTTCGCCGTCACCGATAATACCCCCACCGTTTGCGGTATTGTTGCTGGTGAATCCGCCCAAAGAATCCAATGCTTCCAAGACAGTGAAAATATCACCGTTTTGCCAAATATTTCTTTCCAGGCTATCTCTGGTGGTCATAACTTCTTCTGTGGCCTCAGGTCCGATGGTTTGAGCTTGCATTGTTGGGACACCAACGCTGCAGTAAACTCAACCTTTCGACCGAGACGTTTGTACCATAACCGCACCGTTCGGTTGACTGATATAGCCGTCGGTGACTATCAGGTTTGTGCTAGAGAGGTCAACTCTGGCTTGGTCAAATGTTGGAGAGGTAGGTCTTCATTTCCATCACCTGGTGTTGCGTTTAGGTTTAAGACAATCACATCAGGGAGCGGGTTCACGTGTGGGATTTTGAGGAGCAACAGTGAAGTGTATTGTTGGGGTGAGTATAGTGTTGGAGAAAGCATTCAAAGACAGTTTGGTAACTTGTCAATGTCGAGTTTGGTTGCTGGAGAGTCTCATGTTTGTGGGTTGGACGGAAATGGACATTTAGTTTGTAAAGGGAATAATAATTCCGGGCAGTTGAACGTTCCTTCTAGTTCAGCTTATGAGTTTTCTGGTCTTGCATTGGGAGCAAATTTCAGTTGTGCTATTAGGCAAAGAAATGGATGGGTTACATGCTGGGGAGACAAAAAAATGGTTGATTCCGAAACTGCTGCAATAAGTGATGTTTCGTTTGAGTCCATTGTTGCTGGTTTGGACTTCATATGCGGGTTAACCACCAGGAATTTTTCAGTGATTTGTTGGGGACCAGGGTGGTCTAATGTGCTCAATTTACAAAGTGTTGTACCATTTGGAATGATAATTCCGGGTCCTTGTGTTGAAAGTTCATGTGGCACATGTGGTATGTATCCGAATTCTGAGTCCTTGTGTGATGGTTCTGGAAATATTTGTAAATCATGCCAAATTGAGCTCCCACTTTCAGTGCCATTGCCGCCAGTAGCACAAGCACCATCACCAGATCAACATACAGTTTCTTCGCCAACAAAAACCATAAACAAGCTTTCTTTGATATTTATAATTGTTGGTTCAGTTGGGGCCTTTGCAGGAATTTGTGCTGTTGTTTATTGTTTATGGGCTGGAGTGTATCGTTTATTGCACAACAGAATTTATAGTTCCGAAGAACCCACAATCGCTGCTGCAGATATTACTAACAATGGCTCAGTTATGCCATCTTTAAGGACGTTCTCAATTAGGCGCCAGGGTTCACAAACGTTGGGACGCCAAAGAAGTGGATCGTCATATTCATCTCGCACAGATAAGACTGAGATCTTTTCACTCTCCGAACTTGCTGCTGCTACCAACAGCTTCTCATCAGAGAACAAGATTGGTAGTGGAAGTTTTGGCTCTGTTTACAAAGGCAAGCTCCAAGATGGACGTGAAGTAGCTATTAAAAGGGGAGCAAAGAAAAACAAATCCCAGGAGAAAGAAAGTGCATTTGACTCTGAATTGGCATTGTTATCAAGGCTTCATCATAAGCATTTGGTGGGACTAATTGGATACTGCGAAGAAAAAGATGAGAGGCTTTTGGTGTACGAGTACATGAGCAATGGGGCACTTCATGACCATTTGCATAAAAAGAGCAACACTGGAATACATAGCAGCATTTTGAATTCTTGGAAAATGAGAATCAAAATTGCCTTGGATGCAGCTAGAGGGATTGAATATCTTCACAATTATGCAGTGCCTCCTATAATTCATAGAGATATCAAGTCCTCAAATATACTTTTAGATGCTAATTGGACTGCTAGAGTCTCTGATTTTGGATTATCTCTATTGACTGATCAAGAATCTGTGTCAACAAAGGCAGTTGGAACAGTTGGGTACATAGATCCAGAGTACTATGTACTAAATGTACTAACATCAAAAACTGATATTTATGGCTTAGGAGTTGTACTATTGGAGCTTTTGACAGGAAAAAAAGCTGTGTTTAAAAATGAATATGGGAGTGCAAAGGACCTGGTGGCGTACGCAGAGCCAGATATATCAGCAGGGCATCTAAACCGTGTGTTAGATAAGAGGGTAGCCACGCCAGATATTAATGAGGCTGAGGCGGTGGAGATGGTGGCTGCCATTGCCATTCAATGTGTCAACTTAGAAGGAAAGGAGAGGCCGAATGTGACTGACATTATTGTTACTTTGGAGAGGGCACTAGCTCTTTGCGAGGATACTAATGTTGTTAGCTTCTCTACTACTACATTCTCATTCCCTTCTGATTGAATTACCAAATTTCTATGTAATTTTTTCATTTTTTTTTTGTTCCCATTTTTTCGTTCTTTAACTTGTGATTTCATCTGGGTATATGCCTTTTGTTTTTGTTATTGATAGACTTAATTTAGAGGCTTATTAGACAATGATGCCCCCTTATTCTTTCTCAATTTGTTGAAAGAAATCTAAGTGGTTACTTATCATCTCTGTTGCTTTGTTCACTTTTTCAGTATTAGGTCAAGTAATTAAATTAATCAGCTGGTCTGGCAGACATTGGGGCAAGGGAATTTGTACAGATTCCAAGAAAATCATTATAGCCAAGGAGATACATTGGGATCCAAACCACATTGAGGCAATTGAAGCACCGAATTTTCAATTTCAGTGGAACAACCTGTTCTTCATAATTGTACCAAATGGATTCAACATCTGCCTTAGATATATATCTGAGTATCAAGCAAATCATAAAGTTAATTAACAAAAAGGGGCACAAAGTATAAGATTCCAGGGGCCACCAGTGATGAGTTTACAGGCTGTACTGGAAAGATGAATCCAAAAGACAGAGGTGAACGTGGGATTTTTAAACAATTTCATCTTGGTTTGATATTTTATTGTAGGATAACGTGTGAATAGTATCTTATCATGGGATTTTTCAACCATGACAACTCAGTCTATGAATCTGCATTAAAGGCTCACAAATAAAGAACAACTGTGCCTCTGGTTTAAGCCCAACCTCTAAAGCTCATCAGGAAACTCTTTTGTTCCCAGTTTTGATTACTGTTAAAGCAATGGAAAACATATTCTTCTTCCAGAATACAGGAACAAAATGGGTTATTATCAATCACATCGTCTAATCATAAAAAATTCCTTTGAAATAGTATCAAAACCTCCTTGTTTGTGGGTTTGTAATAGTTTATCCAGAAATTGTAACCACCACGATACATATACCAATTTATTATCTGATATAAAATATAGAAAGCATTGACTCAGAGTTAAGAGTTGGCCTACCAAGGTTTCTTTAACTAATTGTTAATTCAGTAAAGATTGGTTTGTCCTGATTCAAGTTGAATATAGATTTCTTAAATTATAAGGAAGAGAGTAGTATTCTTTATAGCTAAAATGTAGTCCAATCATACTTTTTATAATCCAAATATTAAAAAAAAAAAAAAAACCTAAAAAAAAATAGGAAATACACGCAAAAAACTTAAACGGCCTCTAAACATGTCGAAATAGTAGATTTTGACCGAAAACGTCCCAACCAAAGAACTAGGTTGCCACGTCGTCGTGCTCGCAACGAGCTTTCTATTGATATTTTATAGGCCCATAACTCCTTCTGGATCAAAAAATGATGATTGTTTTAAGTTGATTTATCGTTTTTATACTTTTGACGCTCGACCCTCTTTAAGAATTCATCGTTAGACGTTTTACGTTAGTAATATCTTTATAGCTAAGAATGTAGTGTGTATTTTAATATTTTTCAAGAATCAAATCAAACTTTTTATTCAGTAAAATGATAGTGATTATGAGATTAATATTCAAACTCAAGCGCATAAGAAGCTAGTGTGCTCGTATGATTCCCTTTTTTTTAATCAATAAATGGAACTGCGTGATCCCCCTTTTCAATGCTGATATAGGTAAACATTATTGGCCTGCAAAGTCATTTTTTTCCAGAACTATCGGAATCCAAAACCCCTTATTTAATATGAAATTGACAATAAATATAGGGTTTGAATAAATTTCGAAAAAAATGTCCAATCTGGGCCTTGAGAAATCTTTGGGTCCAGGACCGACTGGGCTGGACCTTTCCCACCTCCAAGCTGCACTAAAGAAGGAAACGCAGTTATTCATTAGAGTAGTACCAAAATCCATTAATTCACCTTTAGAGATTTTTGGATAATGTTTGTTGGATTATTTCTAACAAAAGTTCTGGCTTTTCACATAACCGCAGCCACCATTGGCCCTGAACATTCTTGCATAATCCAAAGATACTTGCAGTTCCCTGTCAGGAAAGAAAAATTAGTCTAATTTAGCTCAAACAATTGTATCCATGAAACAATTTCTGATAAGTAGCATCAGTTTATCCAGGTTGTGTAAAGGCTAACCTGCATATAAATGTAACCATTTCAGCTTCATGTGCCCACCCACAAAACTAGGTTCATTACTAGGCCTAGCATCAAATCTTTACTGAACGTATGTATGTAAGAGTAAGACTTGAATTGAAATAATCTTTTGAAAATGAAACATATGAACTAACTGATAATTCTTTTCCATGTGTTTTTTATAGCCTTTTCCAGCTGTTGCTCACTCATGCTAAGACGTGTAACTTTGCTCTGTTGAAGGTCTTGCAATGACTCTCTATTCTAACTTTCAGTTTTGTTGCATGAATTGCAATAATTGCATGTGAGTGGGTATTGAACCATTGGATTTTTCAACCATGATACTTGGATATGAACTCGCTTGAAGCCCAAATAATGCCTCTGCCTCTGCTCTGCCTCTGCCTGTAAAGCTTTTCAGGGTATTCCAATAAAAACATTTATTTTTTTACAAATTATAAAGTAAAGGAGATCTATCGGATTCCACCTCCAAATGCAGAAATAAAAAATAGGAAACAAGGGATGATTAGAGGTAGAATAAGAAATTCCATCATGCTTGTATCAAGGTTTGCAAGGGTTTGAGGTGTTCAAGTTTGCAATAAGTGAAAGAAGTGAAGCAATATTAATTTTCATACAACTGTTGAATCATATCGTACATCAGCATCAATGTTTGAAAAATCAATAGGATTATATAAAAGCGATTTATGAGACTAAATTTTCAAAGTTAAATTGCACAAGAAGCCTAGTATGTTTGTAAGGAGTCCCTTCTTTATTATACAATGGAACTGCTCTGATCCCGCTTTTCAATTCTGCTACAGGTAAACATGTTTGCCCTGCAAAGTCGTTTTTTCCAGAAGTATCATAATCATACACTTGAATACGTAGCACAGCTAAATCCGGAACAGTTAGTGGGAATTCAAATTCCTCGTTCCATGATGGTACCCAATCGTCTGTAACTGTTCTTGTTTTATACTTTAGTTCATCGGGTCGTACTCCAGCAGTTGAAACCTGCAAACAACTGAATTGATTAATTTTTGAAGCTAGTTATAATTTCTATGCATAATTGAGATTTGTTTGGTCTTACTTTTATGAAGAAGTCTGGTGGAGAATACCGGTCAAAGGCTGTGGGGGGGAAATCCAAATGCCAACCCACTCCCTGGTAGATTTTAACCTGCAAAAACGGAAGTGGAAGTAGAAGATTTCAGCTGCACTGAAGATAGGAAACTTGGTATGAATATTCTTCCAAATCCTATATCACCTTGAGAGTTTTCTGGGGTTCTAAAGGCTCGCTGGGGTTAAATAAATCATCCTCTGGATTAGGTGCCAATAAAAAGGCAGGCTTTTTCACATAACCGCAGCCGCCATTGGCTCTGAACATTCCTTGCATGGTCCAAAGATGTTTACCAGTTCCCTGTCATGAGGCAAAGAGCCAAAAAGTTGAAAGGCACATAACTTAAAATTTCTGATCGGTAGCATCATTTTTCCTGGTTATGTAAAGGCTAACCTGCATATTAAAAGCAACCATTTGAGCTCCATGTGCCCATCCAACAAAAGGATTGTAATTAGAAGAGAATATGCGCGTCCCCTTCGGATATATCCTCAATATGTTCTTCTGAGTGAATCTGAAGCAAAGAAATAGCATCTATGGAACATCAAATCTTTTATTAAATCATAATAAGATTGACCAAATCTTGATTGAAATAATCTTGACTTTGAAATAATCTTTTGGAAATGAAGAAATATACTTGATAATATCCTTTCCATGTGTCTTTATAGCACTTTCTAGCTGTTGCTCACTCATGCTAAGACGTTTAACTTTGCTCTGTGTAAGGCCTTGCCAGCTCCCTAATCCACCTTTCAGTTTTGTTGCATGAATTGCAATCAAGTTTCTATATTGAAGGGCGGCTTTATCCTCATCTTCTTCCTCAATGAATTCTACCTGCTCAGCCTGATCCTGCTACACATCAATCAAGTGATAATATGAAAATGAATAGAGGAAAATGGTTTGTACATATTGAAGCATAATCAATTTTTGTATTCTGCATTAACTTCACCTTATCATTTGCATCATCAGATAGACTTTTGGAATATGTCTTCTCAATCTGTGGAACTTCTTTCATTGATGCACTTCTCGACTTTTGCAAGTTTCCCTTACCATCCTGAGTTTCAAGGTACTCTTTTGGTGGCTTGGTTGAAATCAGAATTTTTTTCTTTAACTCATTTGGTGAAGGAATGTGATCGCCATATTTAGGGTAATACAGCATTTTACCAAATGTGTTAGTCACCATCTACAATTCATTAAACATAAATCTTCAGTCAAGAGAGTTTTACACATTAATTAAGCGCAAACTTATCACTAGGACTTAGAATACAAGTTGTACTCACCTTGGCAACTTCAGCTTGAAGATCTGCTGTAAGGTGATCTTCAAAAGTTATAACAACAGGATACTCAGAAGCAATAAATGCATTATCCTTAATAACACGCAAGCATTTGATGAGGTCCACTGGAGCAGTCAGTGTCCTACATTTTTTTTATAACTTGAATTCATAAAAGAGACCAAACTTAACCCAGAAAAAATTGGACAATTCAAACTCATCAGGATTTATCATCTTGATAGAAATTTTACTCATACCCTCCATGGCAAACTTTAATATCATTTTTCTCGTTATTCGGCCAGAGATCCAATTCAATTACTCGTACACCTTTTTTCAGAGCCTTTATAATAGGATCAACACTGCTATCACTGCTGAGTTGATTTCCAGTTAAGTATGAGTTATGGCCTGTAAATAAAAAGTAATGCGCCAATGGAGAATCCATATTATGGTGCACCTACATATATATATCCATTTTAAATAATAGTAAGGGACAGGAAAAAAAACCAAGTATATATGTCTATATCATCAATGAAAACAGTTCAAATTCAAGAATAAAAATATATGATTGCACCTGGGAACGAAGAGCAGTATTATGGTCGCCAATGAGATATCGAAAAAAGGCGTGAAGATGAAAGCCTTTTCGATGGAAGATGTTTAGGTGCTTGAGCCTATTGAAGACTTCTTGGGCATGCTCTTTGGTGGCATCAGTCTCCCCTTGAAAGTCAATCATAAATTTGTGCAAATCATCAATGGTCATGGTGCCTGTTTCTGATGAGTATTTGTCAAAAATTTCCCTGACTTCCTTGGGAGGTTCAGCCGCTCGGATCCTGAAAATTCTCTTGAAAAAGAAGCAGAACTTGACAGCATGCGTTGGCCTCGCCATTTGTTACAAAAAGATAGATGGGTATGGTGATCAAGTTTCAGCAACGTGTTGTATATATAGACTGAAGGGTTCTTACAAAGGACTAAAGTCTCAAGAATGGCGTCTCAGCAAAGTGAGAATTTATGCTCATGAAACTATCTTAAGGAAGATGGAAGTCAAGTCTCAGGTCTTATTTTAATGACTGTACGTGTTACACATGCTCTTTATTATATATAAGCATAATGCTACCTGTAGATCTCCTTTTGCTTGGTGAGGAGGAAAGAGATAGCTTGATTACCTTTGCTTTTATTTGAACTGTAAATCACAAGAAAGACTTGAGGATCTTTTAATCGTGGCAGCGCAACTGAGCTAAGAATGTCTAGTGCCAGAGAATAAAGAAGCAAAATGCTTCGATATCCATGGCTGGAATCACCAAATTTTGGTTCCTAGCTAGCCATGTCCATATATATATATTCGTTACTTTTGGGAGAACAATATTTTCCCACCCAAGGTTTAGCGAAACGACACTTTTCCACCATTTAACTTTATTAAATTCTGTTATATTTTCTATTAATATTTTACTGAAAAGATGAAAATATTCTTAAATATTTTGATTTTATAAATTTTTTATTATTTTTTAATTAGCCAAAATGTCAAATATTAAAAAATAAAATAATAATAATAATTAATCCCACCTAAAAAATTTGAACTAATGCTATAAAATTGTTTAAAATTAAATAATCTTAATATTTATTTATTTATTAATAACGTCATCAATATCTCATCATTATTATTTAATAATCTATTAAATTTATAATGTTTTTCATAATATAATGTTTTTCATTTTTACTAGTTAACATAGAAAATCAATATTCCTAATTAATTAAATAAACAAAGAAAAAAGAGATATTTTTACATTTGAACTAATAAATAATTGAATAAAAACTTTGACTTAACCAAATTTTAATTTATAATAAATAAATTAAGAAATAAATTGTTTAATGATATTTTCGTTTTTTCAGTCAAATATTAATGAAACCTACGAAGGGTGGAAAAGTGTTATTTTGAAACTTAACTAGTGGGGAAGTATCGTTTCGCCAAACTTTGGGTGGGAAAATGTTGGGCTTCGTTTGGATCACAATTAGGTGTTTTTGGGAAAAGTTTTTTGAAAAAAGTTAAAAAAAAAGTTGAATTGGGCGGGTATTACGATGTAAGATTTATAAATTAATAAAATACCTTCTATGTTTGTTTATTTATAAAACACTCCCTATAATAAAACATTAAAAGTTAACAAAAACACCGCCAACCCAATCTCAAATACGGACAGCCGGCCACCAGCACCGGAGGGTGGCCGGATTCGTCGTATCGGCGCATGACCAACTGGATCTTGCCGGTCGTGTGCCGATATGGTCTTTTCCGATCATATCCACGATGGATCTGGCCGACAAAGGCCAGATCTAGGGCCAGATCTGGCTGTATTTGCTCGTCAACGATGGCCAACAAACGGTCGTCATTGATGGTCAACGACGACCGTTTGTTGGCTGTCGTTTCCGACTGTTACGGCCAAATACGGTCAGATCTTTGGCCTTAGATCTGGCATTTTCTAGTCAAATCCACCGTGGATCTGACCTAAAAATGCTAGATCGACGCACTATAGGGCAGATTCAGCTGGTAGTGCGCCATCCTAACAGATTCCAGCCATTTTCCGACAGTGGTGGTTGGAATCCAGTAAATGTGGATTATGGGGTGTTTTTGCAATTTTTAAAAAAATATTTAGGGATATTTAATTAAATTATCAAATTTAAGGGGTTTAAAAAGAGTTGAATAATATTGAGAATAATATTCTCAAAAATCAGAGTTTTTGGATATTTTACTGTTTGACTTTTTTTGGGAATATTAAAAGTAGTATTCCCAATTGGCAACCAAACGAAGCCTTGTTCCCCCGTTACTTTTTTATATTCTCAAGTCAATCATGGGACCATTTCTTTCAACAATGACAACCATTTTCATTCCACCTGTCTCCTTGTTTGATTTATTCATTTTGTGTAGCCTCAAATTGTATTTTCACTATACATGACATCTAACCCCTCTTCTTTAACAAAACATACAGCTAGCACCCAAAAGGCAAAAGATAATTACATGGTTGGACAATTAGTGTGCAAAATTAAGCAAAGTCAAAGCGCATGAGAAGTTTAACTGAGCTGAACTTTTCTCCCTTGCGGTCGAAAAGGGGGACTGCACGAACACCTGGCCTCAATTGAAACACAGGCAAGCAAGTTTGGCCAGCAAAATCGTCTTTCTCGGACATGTTGTACTCCTGAACTTCAACTCTAATCAAAGCCAGTTCAGGAACTGTCAATGAAAATGTAAATTCCTCTTCCCAAACAGGCGTCCAACTGTTCAACTTTTTCTTTGTCTTTTTCATTGTCTTATCCGCTGGTACTCCCGCTATGCCAACCTGTTATTCACACATTGACACTGATAAATTAATAAGTGTAAACTTCACCATTTTTTTTTGGATTAAAAAAATTCTTGTGTGAACATAAAACCAGAACAGAAGCAAAAATTTACCCTGGTGTAGAATTGTGGTGGAGACCAAACAGTACACATCTTTTGTTTAAAATCCAAATGCCATCCATCTCCCATATACACTTTCACCTGTCAAGGCAAGTGACATTATTATAAGCCATGAGAAAATGGAGAAATGGGGTGGATGATGAAATGATGAATTGAATTTTAATCAAACTGCATATATATATACACTCACCTTCAAGGTTTTCTTCACCCGCAATTTTTCTTTGGGATCAAAAACCTTACCATCTGGACCATTTTTCATCAAGAAATCAGGCTTTTTCACATAACCACACCCTGCATTGGCTCTAAACATCCCATGCATCAACCAAAGAGATTTACCATATCCCTGCCATGGAAACAGAGACAGATTTTTAGAACTTGAAAATACTTATAGAAAACAACAATACAAACTAAATTATTAACATTACAAAAATGATCAATACCTGCATGTTAAATGCAACCATTTGAGCACCATGCATCCATCCAATTAGTGGCTTGTAATTGGAGGAGTTAACTCGAGTTTGCTTGGGGTATATCCTCAAAATATTTCTCTGGGTGAAGCTGAATATGATTATATCAACAGCACTACAATTAGTCAGTCTAGCAATGAACAACTTAATTAATGTAAACGTGTTATAAATTTTGTATAACAATACCTGACAACTTCTGTTCCATAAGATGCAGTGGCCTTTCTGAATTTTTTTTCACTCAAACTAATACGTCTAACCTTTTCAAGTTCAAGTCTTAGTTCGTCCTTTAATCGACTACCCTTGGATTTTCCGGAATGAATGCCGATTAATTGCCTGTATGCTAGCACTCCATATAATGCGCTTGACTGATCCTCACAGACTTCATTGTCTTCATCATATTGATTGTGTTCACTTGTATCATAATCACTACTCTGCAAGCAACAAGAGCTTAGCTTAGAGAATAATGTAAAAATCTGAAAATAAGTAGACATCTAATTTGGTTGATTACAACTTCTAATAATCTAAAGTACATTTCACAGCACACCTTTTCATCATCTGCTTGATTAACTGAAACGTCCGATGAGTCCTTTCCCCATGTATCCTCATTAGAATTATTTTCATTCATGGAGTTGTATCTGCTGCTATTAGTACTTTTAGTTTCAAGGTACTCTTTTGGAGGTTTTGTTGATATGATAATCCTATATTTCAATTCTTCAGGTGAAGGAAACTCTTTTAAACATTCGGATTCAGGGTAAAACAACGTTTCACCAAACGTTTGAGTGATCATCTGTAAACAATAATTTACGAAATCAATTTCCCAGATAGAGTTGAGCAAGTGGAGGTTAGATTTATTCACAGGAAATTGAAAATTAAGTACCTGAGCCACTTTAGCCTGAAGATCCGGTGTCAAATGGTCTTCAAGAGTTATTATTACAGGGTAAGGTGATGCCGAAAAAGCATGCTCTTTAATCGATCTCAAGCATTTGATTACTTCTACGGGAGCTGTCAAAGTCCTATTTCAGGTGGGAAAAAGAAACAAACATGTCAGAAATTAAAAAAAACTCAAAAACAGTTTTGAAATTGACTTGGGTTGACTTGGTACTGCATACCTTCCATGAAGAACATTCACATTATCTTTAGTAGAATTAGGCCATAAATCTAGTTCAATTGCTCTTACACCTCTCTTTAATGCCTTGATAATTGGGACATCGCTACAATCGCTACTCAATTGGTTTCCAGTCAAATACGAATTATGGCCAGTAAATATGAAATAGTGAGACAATGGAGCTCTCATGTCTTGGAGAACCTGAAGCAATTCAAGTGAAAACGCCACTCAATGATTGAGAATAATCGGTTCCTTTTAGAATAAAAAAGATTCTGACAAGTGTAGATGAAATCAGTGAGCATAAGATTCGATCTTAGTTACCTGATTAAGAATTGGAGGGTTGAGATCTGTGGAGAACAAGTAATGTTGAAAATCATCAAGAGTTAGACTGCGCCTGGCAAATTTTGAAAGGTGGTGGCGTCTCTGCAAAACCTGCTCCATTATTTGCTGTGCCTCCGCCATTGACGTGCCAACATGGCCCTGAACTTCAACCAAGAACAGACGGAGCTGTTCCGCCGTCATGTGGGTCCCACCTTCCGCGTATTTGTTGAACATCTCCTTCACCTCCCTCAATGGCCCGGCCTCCGTCATCCTACTTTTCCCGGCAAAGCATGTATACAACCTACAACTTCCCATCTCTCAGTCCCACGTTTACTTAATCAAGAAATCTCAGCACAATTCATTAAACAACTTAATTCCGCGTTCAATTGAATGCAAGTAAAGACTAAGAAACAAAAAAGCCTCTGTATTGCATTAGTGAAGTTTGGGACCTTTTATACTCGGATATAAGCCGCGTCTTTTCGTTTGTTTATTGTACCGTCGTGGGAAAGCGTGAATTTTGGTTGCTATTTCAATGGTGGATTTTCAATTCCAACTGTTTTACGCTGACTCAAATTTATTCAGACATCGAGATGTTATGGGAACAAATTCCCTCTTTGCTTTAGGAAATAAAATGGATTCGTGATACTAAATAATTCAAAATAAAAAATAAAAATATCTCATGGAATAAAGAACATATTCTTCTGAACCAGTAAATGGGCACAAAATATTTGTAATTATGTGGCATTAAACCAATAAATTATTACGAGGTTATATCATTCTTTCTGGACCATTTTTCCCATTTATCTGGTTCAGGTTTCTGGTCAAAAACCACCAAATCTCAAGCCTCTTCTTTTTGAACAGTATGAAATTGCCTGCACTATGGAAAATACTCTGAGATACTGATTTTTTAAATGGAAAATTATTGTTTAATTGCGTGGTAAAGTAATATAATGAATAATATATAGCAACGTGTTTCACTAATTATGATATTTTAGTGGCGTTTGAGATCTCTTCTTCTGGCTTTCGAAGAAATCAAAAGAGCATATAAAGGAAACTATCCACCAAAGAAAGGCTTAAAAAAAGGCAAAAATCTGTCCCTACTCTGTTACTTGGTAAGTAGCAAGAAATTACTCTAATCGAATGGCTTGTCAAAATCATAATAATAAACAAAGAAAACACCAGAAACATCTATCATTTTACCAAAGTTTTAAGTCTTTTAATAACTTTAAAGATTAGAAAATTTTCCATAGAAAAAGTGCATAGGAAAATCTGGGTAGTTGTTTGTTTGACAATAAATTCCGAAAAGAAAATATCAAATCTTTTGTTGTGGGACTTTCTCTTGTAGATAAAATCAGCTGTCAGTGCAAAAAGGATCATGGGTTCAGTACAACCTTCAGGCAATAGTCTCCTTAACAACCCTGGTCTTGTTGCATATGGTGGTTGAATTCATAAGAAATTAAGTGGAAATCTAACTCCAAATTGTAATCTTAATTTCCTTTATGTTTCTAGTGTGAATCTGACCAGTGTAAGTTGAAAATGGATAATAGGATTATTAATGTAGACGATAAAATCTACGATTATGGAATAAGGTTTGATCCTGTGAGGTTAAGGTCACTAACAATCCGTTAAACCTCCACACAAAGAAAACAAGCGCGAAGCTTACGTAAAACACCAGTATGGTGTCTGTCGTAGGCACTCCGATACCCGAGTCCTAAGTCAGCAACACTGAAAGAGGTTATTTAGTGAGAGCTAAAGGACGGAAGGGTAACTGGAAGTTTAGTTGGAGACTAGAACTATGGTATAGGTCTACAGTTCTTAGGAGCAAGAACTTAGGAGCTAGTAGGTGGTATTGAATGATGAATGATTAATGAGAGACATGACCTCTCTTTATATAGTGGTCATAGGATCTTCGAATCCTAGTAGGACTTTAAGTCCAAGTCCATAATTGTAGTTGATTTAATGATTTCTAGTAAATAGGAAAGATCCTTATTTATCTGCCTAGATTGAGAGTCCTAATTCACATAAGATACAATATCTTGAGTGAATTAGGACAAAATCCAAATAGGAAGTAAGTGTATTAGAGTTTTAGTGGAATTCTGAATCCTTAGAGGATATCTTGGGCCAAAGGCCCCGGCCCTAGGTGGGCTAATGAGAGGCCCAATCTGGATGATCCCATTTGGAGAGGCTAGGTTGGTGTCATGACTCTGGCCTGTGACATAAACCTAGGGTTGTAAACAAGCTAAGCCGAGTTGAGTTTTCGACTTATCGAGCTCGGCTCATTTGCTACAGGGTTGAGCTCGAGTTAGAGATCGAGCCTAGGAAAAGCGACTCGAGCTCGAAAGCCCCAATCGAGCTCGGGCTCGTTAAGGCTCGATCAAACCCAAGCTTGACCGAGCCAATTTTCCCCTTGTAGCTTAGTTTTTTGGTCCTGATCCTATTTTAATACATAAATTTGCATAAAAAAAATGGTTAATCCATACTTTCAACCATATTAACCATGATAGTTTCTGACTTTACAAAATGCCTATTACTTTACAAAATCAAAAAATATTCCGAATATATACAAATAATAGTCCAAGACATGAAAATACAGTCCAACAATCAAAATAACTATCCACTAGTAGTCTGTAGTAGGGATGTCTTCTACCAAAACCACCATTTCCCCTTGACTGTATAAAATGTTTAATTTAGTAAGCATCTTTTAAGGTAACTATGATAAGAGAAAAATATGCATAATCATGAAACAAAACCAAAATGAATCAAACTTTTACCTACGCATGCCTCCTACACAGCCAAATCATGCACTGAATCCCAGGAACTTACAGGATAGGAAGGCTAATCTCCCACGATTGCTGCTCTTCTTGAAAATGACAAAGAAGGAGTAATTGAAGTTTAGTTAGTATAAATATAAAGTAATTATTAAATTTAATAAAAACAATATTCAATATAAGTATATAACCTACTTTGCATCCTTTCTTCACCCCATTCAAAGTCTGGCACCAATCACATCCACATGAGAGCATCTTCACCATATCGGGAGACATCGGTATATGTCAATAAGCCTACTGTCGGTGCTGAAAGCATACTCAAAAGCAACTGTAGTGATAGGGATGGCTAATATGTCATGAGCCATGGTAGACAGGATAGAGAACTTTGTTGAATTTGCCTTCCACCACGTCAAAGCATCAAACGCCTCAGGGTCCCCCAAACATTTATGGCATCCCTCTCCCAAGTAATAGTCTAACTCTGATTTAGTTGGCTCAATCGTCTCAACCACATCCAGAAACTCACTAAAATCATCCCAATCCTTCGCCCTCTCTATCGCTGCCCCCGACCCCTCACCAACAACCTCAACTCCATCCTCTTTAGATGTAGAAGTGCGAGCAGCAGTTAATGCTTTACTGGCATCAATATACTCCCTATATACCTCATACAAGGCATCTCGAACAATATCAATATTTGCCTGCGCTTCAGGCTTAGGATACATCTTAGGGAACGACCACTGATCACCTTCATCTTCAGTCTGGGTCCAAAACAGCAGCCACAACCATCAATAGATTACATTCTCCCCAATATTTGTCAAACTTTTTTTTCATTTGCCAAATCATGGACTGTATAAACTCATCTTCATCCTGACTCTTACTATCCAACATAATTTGGATTGTACAAACTTGTTTTAGAAACAAGTTTGATGTCGGATAATCACTCCCCGATATGAGATTTGTTGCACCACTAAACACCTTCAAAATTTAACAAATTTTCTCAACTTTGTCCCAATCCTCCTCCTTGGGACAATAATGATAACTCAAATCCTTCTCCTTCAAACAAGAAAAAACACGTCTAAATTTCACTGCCGTTGCCAACATATCATATATTGAATTCCACCGTGTTTTGCAATAAAAAACAAGCTTGTGAAATGGCAATTGCCGCTGCTGAACAATCTCTGCAAACATATTTAGTCTACTCTCCGATGAATTGATATATACCACGTTGTCACGGATGTCCTGAATAATGTGTCTAACCTGATAAAGACCATCTTGAACAACCAGGTTCAAGATGTTTGCACAGCACCTCACATGAAACAACTTGCCCCCACATATGAGCTTCCCCATAGCTTGGAAATTTTCTTTCAACACTTTTACTACAACATCATTGCTTGAAACATTATCCACCGAGATCGTGTGGACCTTAGCTTCAATTTTGCACTCCGCCAAACACTTGAAAATTGCATCAGCAATGGCAACACTAGAACGGGAAGGAGGGAAATGAATAAACTTCAACACCCGTCTATTCAACTTCCAATTTTCATCAATCCAATGCCCAATCAACACCATGTATTCCATCCTCTGGTTGTTTGAATTCCATAGATTGGTGGTTAGACTTATCTTCCTATTACCTTTCAATATGGTCTACAACTTTGGCCTTTCATTTTCAATCACTTTCATACAATCATTCTTACAAGTATTACGGGAAATCAGAGTCCATTGAGGAATCCCGTACTTCATCATGTTGTTCAACCCCTCTTCCTTCACAATAGAAAATGGATGCTCATGCATCAGCACCCAATGTGCAATAAGCTCCCTCATTTAGGCATATCGAATTGGCTCCGTAGAGTAGGCAGGATGGTAGAGGCACCTTGAGAACTGGAAACGGGGAAATTTATTTGTTGTTGCCTCAAGTTAACTGTTCTCTTCGCACACCTCTTCAAAAGTCTATTGAATTGTGTAGTGCATCCAGTGGCAGTCATTTTTAGCTTTGTTTTACAATGAATGCACTCTGCCTTCCTTGTATCACCAGGGAGAACCACCTCTCTAAATTCTGACCACACAGCTGATGTCTTGGCTCTCTTCTTTTTTTGTAGTGGATTGTCATTGTTTTCTATATTTTCGGGGCTACTCACACTTTGCTTCGTACCACCTGTGCTTGCATAAATGTTGCGCCGATCGATTGCTCTTACTATAACACAATCGTCGACGTCATCCAATGTAGGGGTGCTTGAGGAACTGTCTCCCGAGGCCATACCTACAATTGAAAAATAAGACACCATTAATAATGACTAGAAAAATATGTAACTACATTATTGTGGAACATTATAAATTCAAGTAGGCATTTTATAGTATACTTAAAGTATTGATGAGACCTTGAAAATACACATTTACTCAGTGGTTTGTGGGGATTATTTGTGAGAAATTAGGTTTAATTTTGTAAAGTTGTTTGATATTTTCATAATTGTCTTTTATGGGATCACAGGTGTGTTTGAGTGTTTTTCAGGTTATTAGTGCTAAATATTATACTCGAATTAAGATTCATATCAACAATGGAATGAGTGATAAGTAGAAACAAACGGATTGAGAATCGGAGTTGAATTGAAGAAGTTATGGAGCTTTGAAGTAAAGAGGAGATTCTAGATTATACTATGGTTTGAGCATGATTCGGTGTTTTGACAATATCTTGAGCTATAGACCTCAGATCAAGACGATTATTTAACTATTGGAAAGATAATTCAAAGGGCTATATTTCA